CAGTAAATAGATATCAAGCAGTAATTGTCAAAAAAGGACAGTCTGGTTTTTTTTAAAAAAGGTTAATGAGCAACTTTCGCTTTCATTTTTTTCTTTGCCAAAAAATGGTTATTTTGCCATAGAAATGAAAAATCAATCACATTTATTCTGAAAATCATAGTGGCTGCACCCACGCACAATAAATTTAGCTCAGCATAGAAGTAGGCATAAATCCAATGAGAGCCCTGCCTGCCATGGAATAGACACTTGACCGTCCAGGCTCCCATATCCCTGGCCAGTAGTTGCTCTGTTGTAGGGAGAAGTTCTTGCCTCTTTCTTTTTTTTCTCCTCCTTCCCAGCACCTCATTCTATAAGACCATTTATGATGCCTTCCTTGTTTGGCTTTGCATCGAAATGAAACTGAACTTTTTGAAAACTCAAACAGGTTCAAAATCACAAGCAAAATCAAAAGTCAACATCAGTAAGGCAATTTTTACTAAGTGTAATGATTGCGCTGTTAGCGCTGTTCAATAAAAGCAAGGTCTTTTTGCAGCTGCTTTGTTCCTTCAAACTAAGAAAGTGTTAAGCTTCATCTAATGCATCAGGCACCTCAAGTACATTATTCGTTTCACTTCAAATGCAAGCCATAAAATGCTGCATTAGAAGTCTGAACACTATCAACATCCTCTACTGTATGTCTGACACCATGCAAATACACAGACAATACAGACATGGCTATCATTTGTATATAATCTCTAGAGGCTCCCACAGTCTGGATCTGCACATCAGAAACAGATTTATTGGACTGTGTCTATGTGCTCTGCACAGCAAGAGCCAATGAATCTTGTGCTGGATTGATTAAAATTGTAATTGTACAATCTCTGTGATCCAAAGAACAAGGAGTCATTTTTCACAGTGAAACACTTAACAATTGGACAGACTCAAACTGTCTGCCTCATGGCATTTGTAGCTGCTCTCAACATTGCCACATAAATCAAAGGCACATATTTTGACCCTCCTACACATAATGCAGCCAAATAAGAAAGAATACAGAAAAAGAACATGGTTAGTTGAATTAAGACCAGGTTTTCATAAACGAAAGTACAAAAGCACCTTTTATTCATAAAATACTAAACCAAAAATGTCTGAATATCTGTAACTGGCAGTTAGGTTTACAGTTGTCTACAGTTTATGCTTATCGCATTACAAACAGAGTCAGGGTGGGACTTGGGAGCAGGAGGAGACCATATCAATTTGTTCAGAAATCAGCAAGGCCACTCCCAAATCACAGCCTTGGGAGAAAATATTAAGCCCAGCTGTTTCATTCTTTCAGTCAGTTCCAGTACTAGAAATAGGATCAGGATAAGATCCATGTTACTGGCATCTATCTCTGCCCAGTCTGTTTTTTTTTTAAATATATGTTTCTAGTTTTTAAAGTAATGTAGAAAACCTTTTTAAAATGTTAATGTAGTATCATCAAAGACTGCTCTTTAAGACTAAATTATTTGCCAGGCCACCCTAAGTCCCCACTGCACATGGCCAAGTTGAGAACTCAGCAGTCTTGTTACTCTTCACTGCCACTGGGAGCAGGAAAAAGGACAATATTTAACGGAGAAACAAGGGGGAAGAGGGTTGATGGTATCTTTTATTAGAGCTACTTTAGAGCTGAAAGATATGAGACAAAATCTGTGCCCTTTTTAGGTGCTCCCTCAACAGGACCTGAAGAAGGGCATACTGTGTCCAAAAGCTTGTTAGGAGAGATGTTAGATTGCACAGTTAGTCCAACAAAAAAGAATCACCAAAAATGCCCTTGTTTCTATCATATACTCTAAGCCATCATGACTACAGCAACACTCCAATCCTTCTACAAGGTTCACCAAGTCAATGTTACTTTCCTGCAAATATAACATTTCTCAGCTATACTAGAATAAGGATTTCGAGCTATTTACTGGAGAGGGTGGTTCCAAAAAAACAAGGAAAGTTAAAAAGGAGCAAAAGACACTCGCATACATGCATGACCTTTTGCAAAAGCTCTTCGGAGCTGAATAAAATGACATGCATGAATAGGCTGTAAAGAACCAGAGTGCAACATGGGGAGTGGTTCCTTCTTCTATCCAGCAGCAAGACAAGATTTTTGACTGGTCTTTAAACTGAGACACTTATTAGCTGGAGGATGATAAGGTACTTAAACCTGAGCAGGGTCTAGAGACAGAGCCTTGGTGAAGAGGCCTAATTTATTCCATATCTCTTGCCCCTGGAGAGTAGGGCTGCTTCCTTTCCTCAACATCTTTCATATCCAATTGTTTATACCCACTTATTTTGCAGCTACTGGTTGATTTATCTGAGTCCCCAGTGCACTCAGCGGTAGACCTGGAAGTGGATCAGAAGCACTTCCAATCCACTTCTGGGTCTGTCATGGCGTTTGGGGGACCCTCTCCCTGCCCCCCTGCTCAGCAACTGGTGCCTCCTGGTCTGGGGGGGTACCCAGGTTCCCCTCACAGCTGATTGCCAAGCCGGAGGGTTCCCCTGCACATTTGGCAGCAGACCCGGAAGTGGACCAGAAGTACTTCTGGTCCACTTCTGGGTCTGCCACCAAGCATGCAGGGGGCCCCCCGTGCTCCTGTGGGATGCTCCATCTGCCTGCCATATCAGCATTCACAAGCCATGCCTGGTACCTTGAGGTATGTAGAAAAAACATTTAAAGCTGTGTCTATGGCCAAATCTCTGATTCTCCATGTCAGCACCAAATTTTCAGATTTGGATTTGGCTGAATCAAAATTGGGATATCGATCTGAATCAGTGAATCAAATCACTGTCCGACAGAATGAGAGCCGTGGGGCTCTTTAGCCTGAAAAAGCGCAGGCTCAGGGGTGATCTGATGGCCACCTATAAGTTTATCAGGGGTGATAAACGAGTGATATCCACCAGGATCTAGGGGAACGTTTGTTCACCAGAGCGCCTCAAGGGATGACGAGGTTGAACGGTCATAAACTACTGCAAGACCGTTTCAGGCTGGACATAAGGAAGAATTTCTTTACTGTCCAAGCCCCCAAGGTCTGGAACAGCCTGCCATTGGAGGTGGTTCAAGCGCCTACATTGAACACCTTCAAGAGCAAACTGGATGCTTATCTTGCTGGGATCCTGTGACCCCAGCTGACTTCCTGCCCTTTGGGCGGGGGGCTGCATTTGATGATCTTCCAAGGTCCCTTCCAGCCCTAATGTCTATGAAATCTATATGGCTTACAAACAGAACATTATGCGTAGCTTTCTGATACAACACCTATTGCTCAAGTGATATCAACAAGCCGAGCCATTGCCATCTGTGACAATCTATTTTATTGGTGTTCTGTGGGAAAGCAGTCACAACAAGCATCAAAGACCTTGTTTTCTCTCGTCATCCTCCACTTGCTCATCTGTGCCTCCTCCAATTCTTCCACAGGGATAAAAGAACAGAGCAGTTTGTAGTTAACAAGAATGAATAAATTTTCAGCAGGTGGTGCCATTGTGTGCCCAATTAGTGCCAGCACAAACATCTACTTCCCAGCTGAGAAGAATGGCTGTTTTGATCATTCACACTGGTGCCTGAGAGACAGAGAGAATCTCCCTAAAAAACATGACATATGTGATTCCACAATGCCGGAGAAATTAGTCACAATACATATCTATACAGCTGGCCTCAGAAACACAAAGTCTTATAGACCAAACAAAAGCAAATATTAATTTAATCAGCCATAACTCCAAGTAGCAAACTATATCCCTTGCTCTCCACCTCACACCATGCTGTCAACCGTCTCTTAAAACACAACTCTAAAGGTCAGCACATTCAGGCTTTCCAGGACCATAACAGGGAGCAAGTTCCAAACCATGGAGTCATCATGGAGAACGGCCTGACAGCAAGTCATTTTTCTGCAAAGAGAAGGCAGCTCCTTCTCAAGCACTACTACTAACAACATCTGCAGCAATACAGCTGGGTGTGGGGGTGCATAGGATAGGAGGAGACTGTCTCCAACAGCACCAAAGAGCTAGAGATGAAAATGAAGACTATGTTCAAGCTGGAAACAAGTAATTCCTGGGACAAGTAATTTCTCACAAGTGCCTAGTGCATGGTATATTCTCACAAGTGCCTAATGCATGGCTGCCAAAACCAAACACATTTTAAAATAAAGGTCAGATCTCCCCACACCCTCCCACTCTTCACCCCAACACATTGCGAGTGTGGAATGAGAAGCATAAGCTAGATACTTGCATGTGCACCTGCCATCATGAAACTGTGCTCATTAGCATCACACAAACATTTGCTCATCCCATGGTGAGCTGAAGAAGGGCTTTCTAGAGAAATATTTCTCACTACAATTGGTTAGAAATGCAGCAGTTTAAAACTAATCTCCCATTTACACATTAGCCATTATGCTTGCTTTCCTAATAGAGGCAACACTAATAGCAGCAATCTGGGAAAATATAAATGTGCTGAGAAAAGTGGCTTCATACACAGAGGGAGGGAGGAAGCCCCGGAATCTCAGCTGGCTCCTTTATGCTCCAAAAGAGCTCTGTAAAAAATGCACTGTAGAAAAACTGGCCACTCCAGGACAGCATCAGGTCTCACCACCCCAGCTGAAGGTCATCAACTTTTTAGCTGTAGCAAGCACTGCTCCTCCCCATGCTTCTGTATCTTATTCTGTAACTGGAGAAAGGGAGGAATGAGGGACTACCTAATATGTTTTTATAAGAAATCTGTTGTCCTTTCTTGGAAATGTCCTGCTGTTAAAATCACAGAGTATCATTATGGTAAGTGAAGTGCAAGACTCGCCTTGGAATTGAACATTCATAGGATTATCAGTGAGTGAAAAAATGTGCTACTTGTGTCCCTCAAGAAACCTGGGTGTAAAACAGATGTACATTGCAGCAAGCTCCTCCACTTCCCTACCCTATTTTTAGGTATCTCTTATTCTGCTTCCATTTGCCACATCAATGAATGTGTATGGGGAAACTTGTTCCCCCAGGTACCTCAGCATCCATTTAACCTTACTCACCAGTTGGAGATTCTCCTTCTTTGGTGCAAGATCTGCTTCTCCTTCCTGTGAGATTCTCTCCAATGATTCCTTCATTGCTGGACTTCTTCCTGGGATTCATAATCTCTGTAGAAATTAAAACATTCTCTTGAGAATGGGCACATATGATAAAATGTTTAACAGCATATAAATTGTAGTTAACACTAAGCAATTTCATTGTGAGCTCACCCAAATGGGCCACAAGAAAGAAACATTAAGAGATAACTTCCCTTAATCTTTGACTGTTCTGTAAATTATGCTTACTGATATTCTCTAGGGATAACCATTACCTATTCTTTCCCGGCTTGTCCCTCTGTATCTGAGAGCAAGCTGATAGCTGAAAAATCATTATCAAGGAAAATGAAGCCTAATTACATGGCACAGGAGAAGGAAATGTAAATATGAAAGGTCCTCCAACACTCAACTCCTGTTGTGCATGGCACTGAAGCAGTCCACCAAAACCAAGGAACAATAGAATAGAACTTTTCAAACCCTGCAGTGTGCTAGAAGTACAGTGAGTCAGCACAAAAGTTTGTTACAAGTGAGAAGGATTTCTTTGTGATAGCAAAAAAAATTCTTTGAGATTTAGAAAAGACAGTCACTAAATTCTAGTCATCTTACAAGCATCTTGTCCAAGAGCATCTCCCACAGCCATTAGGATGCTGACACCCAGTCCTATCAACCTCACTTGAACAATTTCTATATAGGTGAGAAGACTGATAGCAGTGGGGCTACTCATGAAAGCAAAAGTATGACAGATGGGGATAAATGAGGTGGGAGAGAAGTCTTACCTGCCTAGGCTCACTGAAGGCAGTTGCTGCCAGTGCTGCTGCTTCTGCTGCAGCAGCAACATCCGCTCCAGTGGCAGCAGCCCAGTGGTGTGGAGGCTCCTTAGCAGCCATACCTGGTGCCGCATTCACTCCTCCACCTCACACCCCAGATATGCTGTTGGGCACAGTCTGCTGCGGCAGACTTCCTCAGGGGCATAGGGAAAGGAGCACCACTTCACCTGCCCAACTTGCCCCTCCCCCTCCTCTCCCAGATACATACCCGAGTATACAGGGCTGCTCTGCCTGGCCATAGAAACCAGGCAGTGCAGAGCTGCCCCTGCTCTGCCAAAGACTCTGGGGGCAGTAGGGGGGAGGGTTTTGGCACCTCCTCATATTGCCCAAGACTAGTGCTCTCTGGCTCCTCCTTAAGACGCAAACAGAAATGGCAATTTTCACCTGATCTAGCTACAGAAAGCAATTTATAGCTATGACCAGGCACAAGTGCACAGCTGCAGAAAGCTTTAAAAATACCCGATCTGGTGAAAAGCTGACCCCCTCAATGCATGGGGGTCAGACAGAGATGTTTCAAAACAGCATTTTCTGTGACTTCTCTGTCTGTGCTGCCTGCCAACCTTGAGCTGTTTTCAGAATGGGACGGGGGAAAGGGAGCAGAGGCAGTTTGGTCTGGGGGGGTTTCAGCCCCTGCTGGATGGTAAGGCAGGTGTATTGGACCCCCCTGAGGTAACGGGGCTCCAATTTGTCCATCCCACCCTCCAAAGCTGGCTGGGGACCCCCAAGAACAAACTCTCTCTGCTCCCTTTCCCCCCTCCCATTCCGAAACAGAGACAGGCTGGGAGAGAGGAGGGGCCATTGCTAGGGAAAGCCAGCTGCAGGCTCACAGCCAGCAGCTAGCTTCCCCTCCACCCTAGAACCAACAGTGAACTTCTGCTTGTTTCAGGAGATCATTGCTACTCATAGATTCACAGAAGTTTAGGGCTAGAAGGGACCTCATGGGATCATCAGGTCTAGCCCCCCTTCTCTGGGCAGGAAAGATTGCTGGGGGTCAAATAACCCTAGCAAGGTGTGCGTCCAGTCTCGTTTTGAAGATCTCCACGGTAGGTGTGCCACAGTAGACTCAGAACACTTCCTACAAAGCATTATCAGTTACAGTGAGGAGCCGCACTTCTGTCTGCACCCTTAATTATGCTACTGGGAAACTGATTTGGAGACAGAACAAGAGATGTGCCAAGGTTCAGACAGGATGTCTGTGATGGAGCAAAAACTTGGTGCTCATCTGTCAAGAAAGCACACAGGAGCCAGGGGTTAAAAGAAAGGGTAGTAGGATCATAGCACTTCCTCCCCTTTTTTAAAAGTAGAGAAAGGCTCACTCTTCCTCTCCCTGGCATGAGGAAAAATAGTCCCTCTGGTTTCCCATCTTCCTAGACCTGTAGAGTTTCAATCCATCTTAGCCACTGATTGGAGCTATTACTCAAAGAGAACAGGTTCTATGAAAATGTTAGCTCTAACAGGCTGGCATGAGCGATGAGAAGCTGTGCCCTGTGCAAAAGAGATTCTAGAATAAACAGAGGGAGCATTATCAGAAGACAGAAAAGTCTATGCTAAACCAGCTAAAACAATATGACCTTGTGTTCTTGCTCCTGTATTGCTCTGGGTCTGGTAAGGATTGACACCAGAGCATGACAGTTAAAACAGGATAATATCACTGCTACATTGCAGAAGACTGAATACTAAGAGCGCTAATTCATCTCATCCAAGCCATGCACTCAGGGTCTTTTTCAGAGTTCAGTCTTTTTGGGGATTCGAAGAAGAAAAGGGGGGGAGGAGGGGGGGGCAGACCTGAACTCATCCATTTAGAGGACATTGCTTTTCGCTAAGTAACGGGGTAAGATGTAGCCTAATATGGAAAAACAGGCAATCAGAATGGGCTTCCCTGTACATGCTGCTTTTCCAAAAATCTAATGAAAGTATTGATTTTTTTATGGTGGATTTATGGGTTTGTCAGAAGCGACTAAATATTAATGGAAGTCAGGTTTTTATCTTGGAGTCCAACATCTTTCTTAGGCAATGAGCGGTTATACCCCTGCAGTTTCTTCATAAGGTACAGTAATGAACACATTACTTATAATAGTTTTGAGTGCCTCATCCAGTTTTTGAGCCTTGCAGTTTTCCTAGAAAATAAGACAATTTAAGACCAAAAAAATCATCTTATTTATCCAGAAAAAGTCTTTAAAATCTTCAAAAACAAAGCATTTGTTTTTCTGCAAGCAAAAAACTTTGCCGTTGGGAGTTTACAAACTAATAACCTTGGTAATCCTGGTGCCCATTAAATTTGACTGATTAAAGGCATCCTCTGGACCATAGGACTTTATGGCAGTTGTCTTTTCACTTCTGCTGCAGAATAAAATGTGAAATACCAGGGGGGCTTGAAGAATTACACTACATCTAATGCCAATACAGAAGTGGAGACTATTAAAGAAAGCAACAGCTTTGGGATCTACCAGTGGTGGCTTAAATTCTCACAGAAGAACTGATCAGTTATTTTTATTTTGTTCAATTAGCTGGAAAGAAGTCTGGCTTTAAAAATGGATTTTCTTTCTACAGAAACAGCCCAATTAATGTACAAAACACCAGTTATTCCCATTAACAGAGGTCATACACAGAAGAATCAACCCAACAAACTCTCAAAATAAACATATTAAAACTGCATTAAACTTGGTACTGGTATTTTTTGGCATCCTCTTAGTCAAAGATAAAAGGGCAATTGCATTTTTAGAGGTAGAAATAGAAAGTCAATGTGTTCTATGCCTACCATTTAGTAATTCAAGGAAGCCAGAGTGCATAATTTCTTTTCTTCTATGAAGCAACGGTTTCTTTTGCAATATCCTTTATTGGATCAACTGCATAGCTGGGATAATGTTAGACAAGCTTTCTAGAACAAGATATTCTTCAAAATCTCATCTAACCCTATTCTAACTATAAAAGTTATCATTCAAAGTAATCTTTGCCTCTCATATAATTCCTGGACCATCATTGCTATAACACCACTCTAACGCTATCATTTTCTTATATGCACACTTTTCAACATATGTACATTTCAAAAGGCACGGTCCTTCTGTTGCAGTCACTGGTAAACTCCAATTAACTTCAAAGGCAGCAATGAAACACAGAAATAGAAAACCAAGGAATTATGCTTGATTTCATTCATAATGAAAAAATCTTTAATGCATCTCTTCAATTTCAACCTGTTCTGGACGAGAGAGAATCTGTGGTTTGGATTCTGGCTCATTGTTCCCCTCTGCCCCTTATAAAGTTTAAATGGGAATATAAATGCAAAAAAAAAAAAAAAAAATCATGCCTGAATTTATGATTAATCTCATTGCCAAGAAAAGTACACAGAGAAACCTTGTAGGTCAGGGTGTGGAAACTGATGCAACCAAGAAAATGGACAATGGGATTCTCCTAACTGTACATCCAGCTTCTTATTCTTATTTGAATATTTCAATGTATATTTTTTAAATGTATGCAGGGACATTATTCATTACAACAGGCTGATTGATTTTTACTGTATGTTGTATACATTGATCTGTAGCTATGGGTTGTTAATTTTCCCTTTGGCAATGGAAAGACTTCATTTTTCTCTCTCAGATAAGCCTCTCACTGAACTGACAGTCTTATGTGCTATGATCCTGATCCCACAGTCAGCAAGCAGACAAATCCACACGTCCATTCATGCAATACGTAAGTTGCTGGGTCTTTGTCCAAATGAAGCTTGTTCTAGGAACAAGGCTCAAATGAATTAAGCCTAGAATGTGATCCCAGGGTTTCCAGTGACGCACTATGCACTGATCACTTCCCATTCTAGTCACATTTCCCAAGGCCTGGAGAAAAGAAGTATTTGGGGGATTTTGGCTGTGTACATGTATGTACTTATATCCGGGGAAAATCCACAAAATGTTTTTTTTTGAAAATTGATGACATAGTTTAGCTACTGGAACTAGGCAAATAGCTTTTGTGACTAGTCCAAATTAACTGCTGTAGAGTGAGTATGAAATGCTGACCATGTACAGAGCTGTCTATGTTGTGCTTGCGTAAATGACAACTTTGACCAGTGTTTCCTAAAGATTAAACCGAGATTCTATTTTCAAAATTTTGCATTTGACCTGTACCCCAAGTCAATGGTTTTAAATATTTAGGACTTAGATATATATTTTTTTTAAATTAAAGTCAGCTACTCTAAATAAATTGATTTATTAGGGTTAATTTGTTATCTGGAATTAAATGAAAACTTGCATTGGA